TGGATGTACTTAACCTGTAGACTCTTGTTTCTTTTTGTCCTTTAGGCGTTATCTATTTGCGGGGTGAACTGGGGTCTTAGTTGCTGATCCCTACACGTGTATGACACTCCATGAACCACACGTTATCTTCTCACGGTGCACCCACTCTCATAGAAACGTTAATCAGCAGCGATTTGGATGAGCATGTCTTGAAATCACTGGAAACAGCCTTAAGGTACTATAGTTTTCTCTGATATGAAGGTGTGTTGCCATGCCCTGTTTGCCGTCTACTAACATGTGTCGATAAATATCTTGGAAAATTGACTAATTTTACGGGCGTGTGCCATTGTCTTTCAAAAAAGTGTTTAATATGTTGTTTTTTTTCAGCTTTTGCCACACCAAAATGTCGGATTTCAAATAGGTAATTAGGCATTTGACGCCACTAAGTATATTGATCTATCACCCCAATGAGGTGAATACAGCGTATAAGCGCCCAAAACAATCTCATTCAAAATTTTAACTTAAACATTTTTCACAAAGAAAAAGCTGTACTTCCCCTCCAAAAAAAAGTACACTCCCTGCCTGTCTCAAATCGCCCTTTGTGGTTGTTCAGTCTTTTCTATGTTAAAACACGAAAAAAAGGGCGCGAAGCTTTCCCCTATATCTCTTATTTTATTTTTTTAGTTAAAATGCGGAGATAATAGAAAATTGTGTATGAAACCATAGTACACCAGGGCATTTTAAGTACAGTCACGTATTGCTCCTACACCCTGCCAGACTGTGAGTCTGTGGATGGAATTCTAAGGGTAAGCCTCGGAGATGAAAACTATCGGTCAGAACTTTCCAGGGGTGCTGTTTGTGTTCCAATATTTTGCAGAACGAGCGTTGATATATTTTTTTCACTTATTACCGTGATCGTCATAAGTCTCATTAAAGGAACTGCGAGGCTTAGTTTAAGATAGGAGCACCCGTGTACAGAACACTGATGCCTCAAGTCTGAGATTTGCAGCACGTGGCTTACATTGTGATCGATGTCATTATAACGCTGTTACCTAAGAAATGAACAGATTTGGCGAGGCTTATTAATTGCTAGGTATTGTTGGTTAAATTCCGAGCACATCCACATAACAATGTTTATTAGATAGAGAAAGCTTTCGGTCAGATGTCCAAAACGTGTGCACACAATATGACCAAAACTCCACCCTTACCGGTTTTGTGTTCTAAGATAAAGAGAAGATGCTAAGCTTGTAAGCGCTTGAAAATATCAATTATTCACCATTTGGGATTCTAGACATGCATCTTTTGTTAAGACAAAACAAAAGGCTCTTTTTCACAAAACATGTTGCGATAGACATGGGGAAATTTCAGCTCGAGGTAATCGTACAATTTCTGCGCTCACCCTGCACTCTGGTGCAGTTCACCCTTCACGAACGCTATATTGGACCGGTTAGATCACTGGAGATAAGGGTTCCATCACGGAAATGCCGCTTGAAAACAAAAATAAGGTGATTAATATATCGCACTATCGCCGTTTTTTCAAGTGACAAAGGTTGCCAGAGGCTTTTCTAAGCATTCTAGTTTCGGTTAATTTTGTACTTTAAATAGGTGATTATAGCACGATGCTGAATAGGAGAAGTGTCGTGGCTTTTGAAAGACGTGTTAAAACATACAAAAATCTGTTGGAAAATTAATTTTAACACAGGTTTTCTAAACCAAAATAAAATGGGTGTAGTATTTTCGAACTTTAAACAAAGTAAACTCTTCAATTTACTCATCTNCTGTTACCTAAGAAATGAACAGATTTGGCGAGGCTTATTAATTGCTAGGTATTGTTGGTTAAATTCCGAGCACATCCACATAACAATGTTTATTAGATAGAGAAAGCTTTCGGTCAGATGTCCAAAACGTGTGCACACAATATGACCAAAACTCCACCCTTACCGGTTTTGTGTTCTAAGATAAAGAGAAGATGCTAAGCTTGTAAGCGCTTGAAAATATCAATTATTCACCATTTGGGATTCTAGACATGCATCTTTTGTTAAGACAAAACAAAAGGCTCTTTTTCACAAAACATGTTGCGATAGACATGGGGAAATTTCAGCTCGAGGTAATCGTACAATTTCTGCGCTCACCCTGCACTCTGGTGCAGTTCACCCTTCACGAACGCTATATTGGACCGGTTAGATCACTGGAGATAAGGGTTCCATCACGGAAATGCCGCTTGAAAACAAAAATAAGGTGATTAATATATCGCACTATCGCCGTTTTTTCAAGTGACAAAGGTTGCCAGAGGCTTTTCTAAGCATTCTAGTTTCGGTTAATTTTGTACTTTAAATAGGTGATTATAGCACGATGCTGAATAGGAGAAGTGTCGTGGCTTTTGAAAGACGTGTTAAAACATACAAAAATCTGTTGGAAAATTAATTTTAACACAGGTTTTCTAAACCAAAATAAAATGGGTGTAGTATTTTCGAACTTTAAACAAAGTAAACTCTTCAATTTACTCATCTCTCCTTATAAACTTAAATATTCAGCGAAATGCAAATTAGATTTTTGGCCGACTGTTGACAACAACATGTGGAAATCTTGTGCTGCAATAGTAGGAAATAGTTTGAATTTCATGCTAAAAAATATAAATTCCATTTGTTCCGCACTGAAGTTGGAATTTACCCCTATGATTTCTTAGCAATGAAAGAAAAAGAAGTTTTCTTGCGCATGCGTACTGATGTTAAGGATGCAGCGTTTGGTCGATCTTTTAACAAAATGCTGTTAAGGTTTTTTTTAGGCCGAGTTATGTTGAATTTTCTGCATCCCAAGTGCCGTTTTTCGTGTGATTTAAAACCTCCGCGGCTATTATCGAAAGTCTAACCTTAAGTAGTTTGCGCAATTTCCTTTGTTTTGTCTGAAAGAATTTTTTTCTATTACAAAAATCCTTTTTATACAAAGTAATGAAAGTGAAAGCGGCGAAGTTGCTGAATATTTTGTTTTGAAACAAAACTCTCCGGGTCGACCTTGGCTACCTCTATAGTCAATAGAAATTATTGGCGATATTGAAGCTTCAAAAATCTTGTCAACTTAATTGCTTTGTTATGACAGTTCCTGAGAAACCTCTCCGACTTCACAACAAACTCACATCGGCGGCGCGTTTATGCAAAAGTTTCACTAATTTGTTTTAGCGTATTGTTACGTCCCTTTGTATAAAAAGCGCTTCCATCGTTAAAAACAACACGTGAACTAGAAATCTTGCTCATTTAGAAAAACCACACAGGCGAGACGGAGTCGTCTGAGACTAGAAGCAAGGTATAGTTTATTTTGTAACGTTTAATACTCTGGACTTATATTTCATAGTTTATATCTAAACATCATAAACATGCTTAAGTACAAATTTTGTTAACTTATAACTTGACCTAGAAAAAAAACACAAGTGTTGCTACCTATAGTTTGTGTCCTTCTGATAGTCGCATATATTCAGTTAGTTTTAGTATGTTTAAATTCAGAAAATTGTCCCACGATACCTTAAATTTAGGAAATTGAGTAAAAGCTAAAAAACTGTATCCCCCGGCTTTTAAGATTTTTCAGAACTTTATTGTAAGATTTTCTTTCCGTTCGAGCTGTTGTGCTAAGTGGATATGTAATTTGTTTTCTTTTAGGACTTAAGAGATGGATGAAATTTTTCCTAACGGTTTTTACAGCGAAGCCCTTTTTAATGAAGAATTTGTCGAAGAGAGCTTTCGTCTTGAAAATGGCTCCTGTTTAGGCTCCCTTGCAGAGCTTCCATTAAACTCACTTGTTAAATTCAAAGATAACGATCTTCCTGCTTCCACTGACCCAGTACAATATCATCAAATGATCACTTACTCGTCTTGCACGAGGACAACCGAAAGTCGCCCATTAACTGGTTTTCTTCAAAGTGGCAAAACAGAAGGGTCTTTGAACGGAGTAAGTGATATTTGTTTGGCGGGAAACACCGCTAACGGCACGTGGAACGCAAACGTCACGCACACGGAAGGACGACCGGGACACGCTCGCGGACAACCTCTGAAAAAGATACGGCGTCTCCGCGCCAACGACCGCGAACGACGTAGAATGCGTTCCTTAAACCGAGCCCTAGAAAGCCTCAAGAAATGTTTGCCTGTACCACAGAGTAAAAGAAGAGTGACAAAGCTTGAGATTCTCCGAATTGCTTGTAACTATATACGATCCCTTTCTGACACTCTTAGCGAAGACAGTCAAAGCAGCGAGGGCCAATCCCGAGGGAAAAAGTCGCGATCCCGAGGGATTGTTAGTGATCCCGTTGTGAACGGTTTCTCTGTCGCCCAGCGATTAGAGATTTTGTCTGGAAGTAACTCAAATCGTATTTAACCTTAACGAAAGTTATGATTAATAATCATCTGAAAGACTCTAAAGTAGGTTTGATAATAAAATTGTATGTTAACTTTGTTTTGGCGTCCGGAAACTTGCGGGAAAAGGGAGCGGAAAGTTTATAACACTAACAAATAATTATGTCTGGTTTTTCTCAAATATATCTTTGAATTCATGATAAATACAGCATCAACAGCTTCAAATAGCGTCTACCGGCATAATTTCACGCGAAAATACATTAAATATTATAATTTTCCCGTTTAACGTTAGCGCAGTGGTCAACTAACCGACCTTCCGTGCAGATTTCAAGGTTTGACTGTCGGCTTAGTTGCATTTTCTTTGTTGTAGTTTTTTTTTCGTTTTGTTTTTGTTTTTGTTTTTAATCATATTTTCCCCTTTGGCTCGTCTACCTTTCAGTCTTACTGCTGGCCCATTACAGCTCGCGAGGTTTTTGCGATAAACATATTTCTAGTAATGTTTATACTATACTAATTGTTGAGGCTGTACAG